GATATAATAGAAGACGGGCAATCCCTCAAACCAGGTGACTTTTGTATCGTTCGAGTTTATGGCAAGACAACATCATCTTTTAGGCTGTACGTGGCTGAAATTCTTGAAAAGGAAAATACAAGCTACATGGGAAAGTTCTTGAAACGACACTGCTAGACTATGAAATTTCTTAAGACAGATGAAGAATCATACATAGCAAATACTGACATAGTTCTTAAGCTATCTAAATCTATTGTAAGCAGCTCAGCTCGCTACAAGGATATGATCAGTTTCAGTACAGATTTAACAGATCTTACTATTTTTCAAATTTCTTTATATTATTAATGAAACGTGTTGAATCTTTTAATTATATGTTTTTTATGCGGATCAACTCATTTTTCTAACATTTAATGTTATTTAGTTAAGAGTTCCCACTCACAAAATGCAATAAAACTGTTATTCTACATAATTTGTATTAATACCATAGGTGATCGTAGTGCTAACCTACTCTTACATCACTTCTGACGATACTGTTCTTCATTATGAACAGGAAATGACTATTCATAAAATAATTTTTTCGTTTTTATTATGTAGCTCAGTTACACCATTGCTGTATAAAGAGAAAGAATAGGAAAATAGCAGGGTCTGGTCCAGTTACCCTAATTTAGTGGCAAAAAATATAAATATAAAATAAAAAAATATACCTATATAAATAATAATTAAACTGAGAAGCAGAACTTGTTCAGAAATAATCGGTTTTCAAGAATGAAAGTTCTAAAGTGACCTACATTGCCTAAAACTCATTTTAAAATTATTTTGGACATTTGAAAGTCGATGGCATCATGTTAATAGGTAAAAAAGATGGCCCAGCTACCCCGACTTACCTTATTTATAAGTGTTAATTTCAAAATTTTAAAATTAATGCTATTTTAGACAGAGCTGCCGAAATTTCTATTTTAAAAACAGAAATTGCGTTAAAATTAGTTGATTTTGATAGACATGTAGAAAACATTAAAAAGATTGAATTAATCTCAGTTAACCAAAAGAAAATGGGTTATAGAAATATTTATTGCTATAGTAGAAATAAATAAACAATTTTATATCATGGATTTTTATTTCTTTGATAAAATATCTTACGATTGTCTAATTGGGATAGATAATATTAATAAATTGGAAATGATATTGGATTTTGAAAAGCGACATGGGAATATTATAGAATTTAAAAAGTTACCTGAATATTATTATCAAATAATTGAAGAGAAAAAAGAAGTTGAAAAGTTAATGGAAAAAGAAGGAAATGTAATGGATAAAGTAGAAGAAAAAAATGTTAATAATTTAAACCAAAAGGAATGTTATAAAAATGATGATTATTGTGATGAAGATTATTATTATAATTGTGATGTTATTGAAGAAAATAATGAAATTATTGATCATAAAGAAATATTTATAAATGAAATTGATGAATTAGATTATATAAATGATAATTACATTCGGGAGCAACTATTTTCATAAGATTCAATTTGAAGATGATACTCCATTACGCAGTAAAAGTTATCCAATACCATTTCATTTTAGAGATCAAGTTAATAAAGAAATTGAAAAATTAATTGAGCAACAAATAAGGGTAAGATCAAATTCTGATTTCATAAACCCAATTATAATCGTAAAAAAATCTGACAACAGCTTGAGAATTTGCTTAGATGCCAGGGAAATTAATAAAAGAATTAAACCAGGTTTTGAAACACCTCAAACAGTCGCTATATTAACGTCAACATGTGGAACTTGTAAATATTATACAAAAATAGATTTAAAAGAACACTGTTAGGGCTATCAAGCGAGTTACCAAACAACAAAAGCAGAGGGAAGACACAGTAAGTACTGCACCAGTTAAATTTATCTGCCTCTTTTATGTTTCAGGTGTAACGGAGCGGTTAGCAAGGTGCTTGAAGAAGAACGATATCATGATATGATACGGTACAGTCAGCAAAATTCGGAACGCTTTTCCGATGGCTAAAGAGAAGCTAACCTTATAAAAGGGACCAAGAGTTTATCTACAATCATGCAGTCGTTGGAAGTATTAGCCAAACTGGACGAACATCGAATACCGCATCAAGGAGCAGGAATAAGATCCAGCAAAAAGAAACGCACCATAGATTTCGATAAGACCAAGTACCCAAGTACAAGTACAGTACCGTACAGTATTGTTGACGTTTTAGGATTAATTATAAAAACCATAACTGATTGATGCCCAAGATGCTGTTAAGTACGATAAGTTAATAGCCTGCCTAGGATCAAACCAACTAGAGTTAACCACATTAATAAAAGAGTCTTGTCGCAGCTGTGAGTGAGTGCGGACGTAGGTTATACCAGCATTGGTGCAAGGTCAAATCAAGAGACTCACTAGTACTGTATATAGCCCGTATGACGCCAAGATGTAACAAATGTCGAAACTATCATCAATCCCCAGAATGTACCAAAGCAAAGGGGAATTACTAGAATGTGTAAATTTTAATGGTAATCACTCTGCTAACTATCGAGGCTGTCTATATTTTAAGCAACACACGTGACTACAACTGTCTCAACAGTAAATACACAACAAACAACCAAAAACTGAGAAAAAACGTGTGTAAAATTTAAACTAGATAGTTTTTCTTCAGTAGTAACCAAAACAATAACAGTGTTCACATTCTTCTGAAAGCCTTTCATCACAAACATGTTAAGCTCCCTTATAAATATACTCATACAAGCCATCACTTCTTACCTACCTCAAATGATAAACTTTATTACAACAAATCTCGCTCTCCTAATCAATGAACAATAATACTGCAAAAACAATAAACATAACAACAATCCTAAATTGTAGTGCTGAAGGAATCAACAATTGTAGAAGCGAACTTATATCTTTAATGGAACGGCATAGCATTGACGTCGCATGCATCACGGGAACACAACTCTTAATAACGGAACGCTCAAGATACTTGGATACATAGTCATAAGAAAGGACCGTCAAGCTGATCTCGCAGATAAAGCATCCAAGGGGTGGCAATACTACTAAAAAAGGGTATTACTCACCACCGGATAAACCACTTTGGGAGAATTAGATGCTCTTCTCGTTTCTCACAGATTAAGCTGCATTGGTGCTCCCTCGATGTACTTTAGGAATAGTGATTATTTGAGAATGTGTAACATCTCGTCTTCATAATCCTAGAGTAATATTTCCAGTGTACAGATTCTAAATCAAAATATTCTTTGTGGTTGCACAAATCTTTTCATCTACAGTCAATGTTATTTTCGTTGCTTTGAATGTTCGAAAACTGAAAGATATTGCTTAATCGATAGAATCGTTTTAGAACCTTTTTTGTAATCATCGATAAGGTTTCAATATAATTATAATAATGGAAAAGTGTCACCCACAATAATGACAAATGGAACTTCCACGTTTCGTCTCAATAAAACATGGGCTGAAGGCAGATTTAATATAGAGAACACACTCAAGACATGTTTTCAAATTGTAATTTACATCAACCACTGCAAATAGCACAACAATGAAGAATGGATTGCAGTTTAAAAAATCGGAACCAGAAGAGCTTGCAAGGTTATCTCATCCATTACACCTACACAATGTGGAAAATTCGATTTATCGTTTAAGTTTTATGCTATAATTTTCCATTCACTTTCATTTAGTGGCATCTGCAGCGATATTTTGATGTAGGCAAAGACTTCTCGGCAAGGAGAAAAGGAAAAGGATGAAGATAAAGGTATTTCAGCAATAGAAGAGCATGAAGGAGTAGTACAAACCTAAAATTAACCAAAAGCTGCTATATCTTCTACAAGTAGTACGAAGCGATAAATATACGGAGTTTAATACAGTATAAGAGACAGGAAAAAGATGAGTGAGAATATTTGGGGATCAGATTTCCATCAAGCTATTCAAATTAGTATCCCCACATGCTAGATTTATGGTGTAAACTATTAGATAATTAATAACACCCTGTTGGAGGCAGAAAAGTGAAAATATTGTGTATCTGTTTTTCAACATTACCAATGTCAACTGCCTGCACCAATGTATCATTATTCACAATCAAGGGTCCATGCCAACTCTTCGACATAGGTACAACCAACATGCAAATCTCCGTGTACTTCAAGAACTACAACTACTGCTCTTTTAGAATACCATTGAATTTCAGACACGCAGGTCCCAACAATCTTAGCAACAGAAAGTCAAGATATTGATGCAATTTGCGCTATAGTTCTTGAAATAATTTGCTTTGAAATGATAAAAGTGTTTGTAGCATAAAAATATTGTTGCTAGACGTTCGTTAACTGGCCCGTCTAAATTTTGTATCTTTGTTGGTAATTTTGGGTCCTATCATACTCGGTAAATCTTCAAAATGTGTAGAGTAGTTTTTCTCATCTATAATGTCATGTTTTATCTAGATTATATCCTTTATATCTTCGAATCCAATCCTTTCCAGTATAGATTTTTTAACAGCTTTTCTCCAGTAATGGATTTCCGTGGCTTTTAGTCTTTTTTGTGTTTTATCCTTTATAGCTATAGCTAGGAGTAGTATACCTTATGTTTGTTTTCTTGTGTTATATGTTTATCTCACCGTATACTGTGTAGCATAAATATCTTTCCTACAATGCATATTTCCTTCGGCTACTACTTCGTCAAATATTCGTCCCTTCAATATTATGGCTTTTCAATCCTCTAGCAACGTCAAATTTCAATTGACTCAGTGAAAACGGAGTGAATTACGTTAATTGAAAAAATGGAACAAATAGAAACTTAAATTCCCTATTCTTTATTCCCGGTCAATTTTCTGTGGCTCACGAACCCCAAATAAAGAGATTTCATCTAGTTTAATTTATAAGTTGTGCCTAAAGAAAGAAATTTTGAAAGTTTTATACAAAAGTAACACTTAAGTTAAATAACTTATGTTTTTGTTATCTGCTGCGAGACTTTTTATTTGATAACATTCACAAAATTGAAAATGGTTAGGAAAAATTAAAATATGAAATTTAAAATGGTTAAATTATTTTTATTTGTAATCAGTAAACAGCTCGTGGATTAATTACTCTAAGATTTTTTCCACCACAAAGAGCAACACCGGAATAAGCCCCAGAAACTAACGCGACCCATAAAAGAAACGGCAAAAATCCTACTAAGACCATAAACTTTATTTTCCAATTTCGTGAACCCATTCTACGAACACACCTAAAAAAAATAAATGATATTATTAACATCAAACTTTGATTTAAAAAGTATCATATACGTTTTACTGTGTTTAGCCATCCTTCCCGGAAGACTTCGCATTTGAGCTTTTATTACTCCTACAACCGCACATTTTCTATGACACAATTCGTTTAAAAAACCACTTCTTTTAACGATTACTTTTTTTTCCTTTTCCGTCTTATTTTCATTTTTAGAACAAACTGAACAAAGTGATGGTACACAAAATTTCTTAGAACTCTTTCTATCTTCCTGCTGTTGTTGTTGGTTTTGTTGTTGACAAACACATGAATATTTCTTCACTTTGATATCGTTTCGATAAATGTGCGCCACTTTCGGTCCCAATATACACTTTTGGTTATCGTCTCCTCCGTCGGACGATATATTATGAAAACTATTGGAATCCTTTTCGCTTACTGGTAATTGTGCTTGACTCGAATCGTAACTATAATCACCGTTGTCGTACTCTTCGCGAGACGAAATCGAACGGTACCATTCGTTATAATAGTCGTTGTACAACTCGCTATCGTATCCGTCCCTTGGTATATACATATGTGGAATTATTTTATTTATTGGTTTTTATTTTGATTTTACACGCGCGAAAATTTTGAATCGAAATTGATCGAATAATTTTTTTGGTTTTGATTTTGATGAATTTGACAGAAAATAATTTTGACACTTAATATTTAATAAAGGTTAAAAATTAATTTTAAAAAAATAAAGGTAAATTTAAATATGGTTAAAAAAATAGCGAAGATAATAAAAAGAAAAAATTTTAATGCAATTTGAGGAGAATATAAATTTATTAATTAATATCGGCAAATGTAGATATGTCTTAGTAATATCACATAATTCATCAATAACCGAAAGAAAAACGGAACTTTTTACGTAACGCTACATCAAGGTATTGTTGCGACATTTAAAATATACTACGTAAAACGAATGAAAAAACAATAAAGGAGCAGATAACATCTCCTTTGAATTATACCAATTAGGTGGTAACCACATACAGGAGATGTGTCAATCTGATCACCGGAGTCATGCATGGGAAGTGGCTAAAGTTAAAAGAAGAATAGGAGATGAGATGCATGGGGACCGAATGGTGTTACAACGAGGTTTATGATGAGGAGATGGAGACGAGAAACGAGGTTGTGGAAGTGTATACGGATGAGACAAAGGAGAAGGAAAGTATTTTAGCAGTAATGATAATAATGTCGGGTGAAAATGTCAATATCAAGAGAATAGGAATTCAATGGGTGAAGAGAAGAGGGCATGATAAGGCCGATATGTTGTGGTCAAAGACAACAAAACAGCGGTGGAGTGGCTGAGAAGGAGCAGAAGCAGGAACGTGTATGTGAATGAATTATTGCATGATAGTGGTTTTAGTTTAAAAAAACAGATGGGAAGGATGGATGAAGAGACCGGACAAGGTGGCCATGTCAGGTGTCATTGAAAGGGAGGTAAGAAGTATATGTCTACAGAAGTGCGTGTCAAGTAATAAAGTTGTGAAAGATGTGGTGGAAGCATGGAATTGGACCAGGGAAGAGGTGTATTGAAGGTACCGATATTAGCCTCAAAAGAGACGTCAAATACCTAGGGGTAATACTAGACAAAAAATTATGGCTAACCAGATCTGCCGTAGGCTCAGAGATCATGACATATAAGCTACTTTTTGTTTATCTCTTTTAGTTTCGGAGATAGCCTATGCGGACAACGAATTTGGAATACCCTGTACCGACAACCTAAGAAAACTCGCCAGGGGTACTGAAGTTACCCTATGGTGTTCCAGGTCACAAAGACATTGTGGGTAATAAAAGGCAAACAAGCTGAGGACGTCCTTTATTGGACCCCAACCCGGCTGTGGACTACAAAAAAGCCACTTAAAACAGGTGATTAACACATGTGTTATATAGTTAAGTTAGTTATATTTAGTTTCAAGAGTTTAGGTTGGTAAGAGAGAGAGGTTAGGTGAGAGGGAATAACATGTAAGAACAAGTAAGGAACCAAGGTTTATATATAAGAGGTTGTCTAGGTTCGTACGCAATCATACTGCGCATTACGTCACATGTGGAAAATAATACCGCCAAGCAATTCAAATTAAACAAAGGCATGGAGCACCACCTGGCCATGAGGTTGCGTGTGCAATCCGTGATCGCTTACGTCACGAAACACTCCTGCTCTTGCCCCTCGCCCACAAACTAATATCAAAGTATTGCAGCATGGGAACTTAGATAACCTTTAATATATAAACCTTGGTAAGGAACTACTTAATAACAGTACATTTTAATATTAAACGGAGTTGCATATAACATGGTATGGGGTAAAACTTTTAATGCAACAGACAGAAGCATTGATTCCATACCCTTCACTATTAGAAGTAAACAAGGACGATGTATCGCAAAACTTTGATCATTTTGTAGAAAATTGGAAAGATTATGAAATAGTTCCGTAATCGACAAATAGCCGGATAGCGAAAAAAAGAAGAAAATTAAAACGTTTTTTTGCTGCGTTGGGTGATAATGCAAGAATAAAATACAATAGATTTAATCTGTTTGAAGACGAGTTAGATAATGTAGAAAGTGTAATAGCTGCAATAAAAAAGAAATTGGCAGTAAAGAAAAATGTAATCTAAGATAAAGCTATGTTCAACATCTATAAACAAGGGGATAATGAATCGTTTGATGATTATTTAATGAAAATAAATTGCAGTTGCAATTTTACCAATGATTTATTGAGGGACAGAATCGTACTCGGAATTAAGAATAAAGATAAAAAAAAGACTAGTGTCTAAATGAGATCTAACCTTGGAAACATGGATTAATATATGTAAAATTGAAGAAATAACAACACAAAGACTAGAAGAAATTCAAGTAGAGAAAGGAAACGTAAAGAAGGTAATAAATTATAGAAATAAATGTTGATTTGTGGCGAAAAACATGATTTCAAGAAAGGATATGTAAAGGAAGAAACCATTTTGCTATAGTGTGCAAGAAAGACTAGAAGAATGACAAGAGAAATGTTGGAAAGAAGAAAGAAGATAAGAAAGGTAGGAAGAAAGTAAAAGAATTGAAAGAAAATGAAGACTCGGATGATAATGAAGAACTCCGAATAGAAAAAATTATCAATAATTCTTCAAGTGGCGGTAATGTTATTGCAGAACTAGATTTTTTTTTAATGATAAATGGATAAAACTACAATGTGACATTGACACTGGTGCAAACGTTTGCATAGTAGGATATGAAAATTTAAAGAAATTATTAAAAACTAATTCTATTAAACTGAATGAATCGTCTCACTGCTTGTATGTTAAATGTAAACGTTATAATAAAATATACAAAATTAAGTTTGTAGTAGTTGATATAGATCATGGTTTGTTATTATCAGCTAACGCTAGTAAAGAGTTAGGTTTAGTGAAATATTGTAATGAAGTAAAAATTGAATGTAATAATTTGTTCAAATTAAAGCAACAGGCTCAAAATACAGTAGGACATTATGAAGATATTTTCAAAGGACATTGATCTCTACCAGGGGATATAGAAATAGAGCTGGAGGAAGCGGCAAGATCGGTAAGACAACCACCAAGAAGAGTTCCAACAGCATTGAGAAAAGATTGAAAAAAGAATTGATACATTTGGAGTAGAAAGGTATAATTTCCAAAGAAGGTCATAACACAGATTGGGCGAGTAACATTTTATTAGTAAAGAAGGAATGGAGACCCCATTCCATTAAATAAAGTAATGAAAAGACCACTTTGTCAATTTACTACAGTTGATGAAATATTGCCAGAGTTGGGTAAAGCCAAAGTTGTTTCAAGTAGACACAAAGAAGGGTTTTTGGCAAGTCAAATTATCGGAATCTAGTAGTAGATTAACAACATTTTGGGCACCTTTTGGTAAGTATGGTTGGAAAAGGATGTCATTTGATATAGCATCAGCACCTGAAATATTTCGAATAAAAAATACCAAATATGCTGCATGACTTAAAAGGCATTGAAGTTTTGGCGTATGACATTCTTATTTACGGATCAGAGCTTCCTCTGTATCACAGAGGAAGAAGCATATGTAGATCATAATAAAAATTTAGAAAACTTATTCAAAAAACTACGTGAGAACAATTGTAAATTTAACAATTATAGTCCAGTTGAAAGACTCTACTCGAGAAGTATACTAACCTGAACCTACCGTCGCCATTAAACAATTTAAAACGTAAAATTATAGATAATGTTCCTAAAAATTTTAGAAAACAATAGAAGGAAAAGCAAATTTTATTACAACCAGAAAAGTCGAAAATTACCAGAATTAAGAATAGAACAATATGTAATAATATAAATGACACCTGAACAGTCAAGGGTATGGACACAAGGGAAAATTGATGGAAAACTGAATCATACATGTATAGTTAATGTGGAAAGAACACTGTATAGAAGAAATGTAATACATAATAGACCACAAAATAGCGAGATTAACAAAAATGAGATACGTTAAATCCCCAATCATCCACTGCACATTGGCAGACGAACATGATTCTTTGGTACCAAGAAGCGATATCATTTTAACTTTGCCGAAACCAAATTTATCAGGACGAAGAAATTTTTTAAAATTTGAAGTAGATTTTTCCTCCTACAATGTTTGTTAAAAATTTTTGTGTGTTATAAAATAGTTTATACGTTAAAAGAAGACATGATTTAGTTTTTAACCATAGAAGTTTATTTCGTTACAATTCCAGCTTTTCTTTAAAGTATTGATATGTTAAACCTTAATTTTGAAGTAAAATTTGAAAAAATTTTCTGCGCTCTTTTACATGGTTGCCCAAGTTTAAATCTAGTTCAGATGAGTGATTTGTACATATATGCCTGGATACACATTTGCCCCATTTTGTGGGGCGCTCTTTTACACCGTTGCCCAAGTTTAAATCTAGTTCAGATGAGTGATTTGTATATGCTTTGATACAAACTTGCCCCACAAAATGGGAGCGCAAAAAATTCCATAGACCAAAAACTTTATTTCAAAATTAAGGTTTAACATATCGCTACAAAATACTTTTGTTTTTACTTGCCCCATTGTGTAGTGTAGTTAGTATTATGTGTTGGCAACATTGGGGGTAATTGGGGGGTTGACAGTCGTAAGGTGACTTGTAACGATTTTTAGTATAGTAAAGAACGTTCCTTTATAAAACTTAATACGAAGAATAATAAACGATTTAATGAGAACTAAAAAGTATATTATTCGTGTCTACGAATACAAAACATGGTGTCAGGTTAAAAATAGAAATAGAAGAAAAGAAAAAAAAGAACACTGAAATGACGAACATGCCAGAAGAAATAGATAGGTTAAAAGTGCTCGTTGAAAATATGAGTCAAGGTCAGGGCGCGTCGACGTTTGTTAATCCGGTCCCATCACCGGGGGAATTTTCATTTGTTAAAAATGAGTGGCAAAGTTGGATTACACATTACGAAAGATATCGATATGCAACGAGACTACAAAATTCCGATGAGAAAACACAAATTAATAGCTTCTTCGATCCCATATGTAGAAGTATATGGGATCGAAGGTAACAAAATTATTGGAAACATTCCAAAAAGCAGAACGTAGTTTTAATACATATAAAGAGTTAAAAGAGTTTTTCGGCAAACACTTTACCAATACGAAGAATATAATTTACGCCCATGCAAAATTTAATATGAGAAAACAGAAAGAGGGAGAGACAACTTACGAGTATATTAGTGAAATCATAAGTTTGGCAAAACATTGCAATTTTAAACAACTGGAAGAAGAGCTCATAAGAGATTGGTTAGTGGTAGCAATACTAGATTGTAAACTTAGTGAATCGTTGCAGATGGACACAGAGCTAACATTAAATAAAGCGATCCAAACAGTAACCCAAGCGGAACGAATTCATTTGGAAAATAAAGAATTAAGAGGAAAAACAGAACAAATCGATAGAGTAAAAAGGTTTAAATATGGAAAAAGAAATCAAGAAGGAAAAAAAGTGAATATAAAAATGAAAATAAATATAAATGGGAAGATAAAAGAAGTTCATACGATATGTGTATAAGATGTGGAAGGAAACCGAGACATGACAAGACAAAATGTCCGGCAATTAACGTACGATGTTTGAAATGCAAAATGTTGGGACATTTCCAAGCTTATTGTGGAACAAAAATGTTTAACGAAGTAGAAGAAAATGTTACAAATAGCGACATTGATGAGTCGGAAGAACAAAACTTCTTGGAAATAAGCGTTGACGGAGTTATAAAATCAAAACCATGGATTGCAAAACTGAGAATTGGTGGCGAACATGTACATTTCAAGATAGGTGCTGGTGCTGATGAAAGTATAATTTCTTATCAAGAGTATAAAGGAAAATTATTATTGTTGGGTACTGGATATGGTGAAAATAGAAAATTATTAGTGAAAGGCCGAATAAAATTACCCGTAACATGGAAGAACAATAAAGCCGTGATTAAATGCTATGTAGTAGAGACAAATGACAATTTATTGGGACGACCAGCATTATTAAAATTAAAAATAGTGGAATGGATACATGATAAAGTAAAAATAAAAGAGATTAACGAAGTAGAAAATGGGAATGGAAAGAGTTTTCAAAACAAAATATTTGAAGAATATGAAGACCTGTTCAGAGGATTAGGTGAGATGGAAAATTATGAATATAAAATAAAACTAGTTGAAAATGCAGAGCCCTATGCTACTCCAACGAGTCGGAGAATCCCACAGCCTCTGCTTGAAGAAGTAAAAAAAGAAATTGACGCAATGGTAAAAAATGACGTGATAGAAAAAGTGGAGTCTACCGAATGGTGTGCTCCTATGGTGATAACTCAGAAAAAGAATGGTAAGGTGAGAATATGTACTGATTTTACGGAATTGAATAAAGTAGTGGTGAGAAGATTTGTGTGAAAGATTTTTACTACCGTCTGAAACTCTAGCAAAGCTATAAGAAGCAAAATTATTCTCTAAATTGGACTTTTCGTGCGGATTTTGGCAATTAAAATTAGCAAAAGAAGCACAAAAATTGATTGCTTTTTTAACTCCATTTGGGAGATACATTTACAAACGCATTCCATTTGGAATTACGGGTGCCCCAGCGGTATTTCAAAAAATGATGTATCAGTTAATTAGTGAATTGAATTGGGAAGGCGTACATGTGCACGCAGATGATATTTTGGTGATTGGAAGAAATTCAATGGAACATGACGTGAAATTACTAATTGTTTTGAATAAAAGTAAAGAAAGTGGTTTGACACTGAATAAAGAAAAATGTGAAATTAAAAGTGAAGAGACCAGTTATTTGATATATATTGTGAGCAAGGATGGTATCAAAATAGACCCGAACAGTATTGAAGCAATTAAAAGATATCCAACACCGAAAAATCTTAAAGAAGTGAGAAGATTTCTCGGTATTGTCAATTACGTAGCGAAGTTCATTGATAAAATGTCGGATAAAACAAGAACAATATGCGAATTACTGCGAGAAGATTCGGATTATCACTGAACAGAGAAACATCAACACGATTTTGAGCAATTAAAAAAACAAATAATACGACAACCGGTTTTGGCTAAATTCTCTACGAAGAAAAGAAGTAGAATATCCGCCGATGCGTCACAGTATTGTTAGGAACCGTACCGTTACGGTCCTGCCGGCGGTTCAGCGACAAAGCTGACGTAGCATAGAAGAACAGCGGTTTACTTGTAGAAATAATGTAGATTAGATTGTAACGTGCCGTTAAAGAGTAAACACGTAATTAACAAGACTGTCTTTTTCTTCAACCTGTTCAACCCTACCTAAGTGTATGGTATTGGAGCTGTTTTGGAACAACTTCAAGAAAACGGGGAATGGGCCCCTGTATATTATTGTTCGAAAACCTTGAGTGAGGCCGAGCGGCGCTACGCTCAGATAGAAAAGGAAGCTCTAGCCGCCACCTGGTCTTGCGAACGTCTTGAAGAGTTTCTGATTGGTACAGAATTCCTAATTCTAACCGACCACAAACCATTGACCGTATTATTGGCAACAAAAGAGATCAGCAAGTTATCAAATCGACTTCAAAGATTCCGAATGCGGTTACTTAAATTTAATTATCGAATTGAGTATGTTCCAGATAAATCATTCCATGTACCAGATGCCCTATCCAGTGCCCCACTTCAACAAGGAACAACAGACCTGGACGCTCTCTTAATGGATGAAGTGTATATCAGTTCAGTAATAAAAGAGGTTGATGGATGGATTTGTCCTGAAAGAACGATCAGAGAAGAACAAGATAAGGAGATGATGATTACGGAGGCAAAGGAAAACATTAAAGCCGGATGGAAAGAAAAAGAGAAATCACAATATTATAAGTACAGAAATGACTTAGCTATTGATAAAGAAATATTAATCTATAAAGACCGACTGGTAATACCAAAAACCCTAAGAAAGAGATGCTTAAACCTATTACATGACGGACATTTTGGGATGGGTAAATGCAAAACTAGAGCGAAACAAAGTTTATGGTGGCCTGGAATTTATCAACAGATCGACGAAATCATTCAGAACTGTGAAATATGTCTACAAACAAAACCAACAGCAACGGAACCGATGATATCTACGGAGATCCCAGGAAGACCTTGGAGTGTAGTGGGAGTAGACTTGGCCGATTACAAAAATCGCAGCACAGTTGTTATTTGGACGAAACCTTCGCGACAGAATACCAATATCGAAGAACAAACTAAATCCGAAATTACCCAATCATGACCAAATAAGAAGAAACCTGGAAGATGAGAAAAGAAAACAAAAATATAATTATGATCGACGACACAGAACAATGGAAAGGGAAGATTATAAGATCGGCGACAGAATGTGGATTATGGACAGGAAAAGAGAAGGTATTGTACGAACGAAAACAGATAAACCAAGATCTTATATGGTAGAGACTGATGGTGGAAAAGAAATAATACGTAACACAAAACATTTAACGAAACTACCCAAAGCAAGAGAAGACGATAAAAAAGAGGAAGCCTCTACTCAAGATAAGCCTTTAACCGAAAACACAAGATACAAAAGACCTCCAAGTAAACTTAAAGATTATAATGTTTATAAAAATAATTTAGAATCTATTCAGTTTAAATTGCTTTGTTTTCAAAGTTGTTGTCAAAATTATTTTCGAATTAGACTTAGTTTCTTTTAGGCAACTAATAAGTCAATTATTTCGATGTTTGATTTTTATAAAAATTTTATAGGTGTTAATTCAAAGAAAAGGGGATGTAGTGTAGTTAGTATTATGTTTTGGCAACATTGGGAGGTTGACAATCGTAAGGTGACTTGTAACGGTTTTTAGAACAGTAAAGAACGCTCCTTTATAAAAGTTAATACGAAGAATAATAAACGATTTAATAAGAACTAAAAAGGATATTATTCGTGTCTACGTATACAAAACATGTATGAGGCACATTAAAAAATAAAAAAATGTGTAACTACGAAAAACTATCTTATTTGTTTATATTAACCGCATCATACTAAAAATACCCCTTCTGGGTACATAATCATCAATAGAGAATTTAATGAAAGGTCTGCTATTATTTTATATGTCTTCAAAGTTGAACTATTTAAATTTTGCTAAACACTTATCCCACTTCACCTTACTTTGATTTGTATTTTCGTGTTCTTTTGATTAGTTGTAGATTGCAGTTTTTTTTTATGAATAAATAGTTTTGTTGTCATAAATTAGTTTAAAAAATGTAATTTTGTAAGTTTTTTCAATTGCAATTATACCTATTTTTTAAATCCAGAAAATCCCGGGATTCGAGAAAATTCAATCCCGAAAACATTTTGATGCGTATTCAATAAATTTATTATTAAATAGTTTTTAATTTAGTGTTCTTTCTTTCACTATGCCATCTATTGAAAGATGGCTAAAGATTTCATTGAGTGAAGCATTTAACGAACACAGTATGTAATTGAGCAGTTATAAATAACTCTTAATAAATAAAAATAAAATTATGTATAACCAGTACTTCTAATTTGTTACGTATTATGTGCAAAAATTCTTTTCCTTAATATTGTTGAAATTGGAAATTAACATTTTTGTCCAAAAATAAACTCAAAACGTTGTAGATAAGATTAAGCACTTTTTTGATTGTATTTATTTATATTACTTAAATATTATATGTGATAGGATAACATAATATATTGTGAGGGCTTTATTACCCTATAAAATCAACAGTAATCTCAATAAAATGATTTTTGCTTTATTAATCTTAAGAAAATATAATTAGAAATATTTTCTACCATATCTAATTTCAACATAAAATATTTATATTATTAACTAAACTGAAATAGAATACCTTAAAAAATACTGTTAGACAAACTTAATACCACAAATATTATTTTAAGGATAAGAAAAAAACTTGATACCAGAAATATTTAAGAAATAACTTTTTTATTTTATGAATCAACATTGATTAGCAAAGAATTTTGAAGATAAGCAAAAAAATCATTAATAGGTTATACCTCACAGATTGAAAAATAAAATATCTACAAACTACATTGAAATTTGTCGCCTTAAATTAAAGCTGACTATTTCGTTAATCTACTCTAACATTTTCTGAATTTTCATCTCAATGTTTCTTTTAAATGAAAATATTTTTTAAACGAAAATACCGTTGTTATTAAATATACAAAAAAAAAAATAATAATAAGAACTTAAAATCATTTACAAAGTCTTATTTTTCTTCACACCACTCGTTTTCCTTTCGCACCTGTTCCTCTTCGGAGGCGGTAAAATCATTTTTAATATTAAATGTCTTGCGGATTTCTTCAGGAGTTTTTCCTTTGATCATATTAGCAACAGTTTTGCATGTTACATCCAATAATCCCTTAATATCCAAATAATTAGCAGCCAAAATTAATTCAAAAAGCGTTCCTTGATCAACTTTAAGAAAGTCTGCATCCCAAGATGAAATATCATCGGTACGCTTCTCTTTGTTTTCATCATCTTCTGGTGGTGGAGGATCATCTTTATGATACGTAGCCCATTGAATCACCTTTTTTAAAATAGCTGAATTTACGTTTGGTAATGGGACGGGTTCTTCCTCCTCTTCGTCCATCCCCAAATCCTCCAACATTGTTTTGATGGTGACGGAACATTTCGCTATTTCAACATCCACCTCGAAAATTTCGCCGTCAGACGATTGTAGCTTTATGATCGGCATCTTAAGGGAATAAATAATTTAATCATTAAACGATTATGGTTTGTGTAGATTGGAATATGATTTGAAATGAATCCCAAATGGTACTACTTACGATTAAGAAGCGGTTAAGTTTTTAGCGGAGTTTATTTGCGAATTTTCAAAGAATTACTGGACAGTTTGAGCAAGAACTCGCACAATGGCCGGTTGTCAATGTCAACACAGCGCAAACTCAAAGCGTCATCTAGCGTTTTTTTTATTTATAGTTAGCTTGGTGTTGGAAAAGGAAAGAAAATTAAAAAGTATTCCCGGGGAATTAATGATTTAATTATTGATTTAAACTAAATTTAAAGAAATAAAATAAATATTTACGTTAATTGTTATTTCATAATGAAAAAATGATTTAAACTATAAATAAAAGAAAATTATTTAAAACTTGATTTAGTTGTGCTTTCCGACAAGAGATGGCGGTAGTGGATTTAAAAAAGATTGATTTTAACTATACCTTTTCAAGCACAAATTGGCACTAATCAGAATCAAAATGACATTAGTCAAAATCATATTGGCAATGTCAATTTCAAATTGGCATTAGTCAAAATCAAATTGACAATAATCAAAATTAAAATGGCATTAGTCAATATCAAATTGGCAATAAACAATATCATATTGGCATTAATCAACAAATTTAGCACTAATCAAAAGCAAATCGGCATTAAACAAAATCAAAATGACATTAGTCCATATCATATTGGCACTTATGAATTTTAAATTGACATGGAAATAAAATTATATATCAGCATTAAATAAAATGAAATGGGCAAAAACATTTTATTGACTTACAAACACAGTAGATAACAATTATATTACTTAAGAAAGTAGGTAACGTTATGTTTTAAATAACACTCTTAAAAATTTATATCTTGCATATTCAATGCAGAAGGGATAAATCGTTGGATGTGGGCAATAAACATTGCGCAATTGGCAACAGTAATCTTGTCCATATTATTATGAACGGTGTTCTCTAATTTCTGCATTCGATATTCTGTTTGAGTCAGATGATCCCGGTCAGCACCAGCCAAGATGTTATTTAGCTGTACAGCCATATCTGCTTTTACTCCTGCTTTTAATGCAGACCACGCTTGTTCAATAGGATTAAACATAGGGCTGTACGGACTTAGTCGTAAAAGTGTGTGGTGTTCAAATTCGTTTTCTGCAAAAACCTCTTCAATAGTAGAGTGGCATGGAGCATTATCAATAACTAATGCAACTCCAGTTTGGTAAAGGCCTTGCGCTCTTCTTAGGCATTGCCTCACAAATTCATTTGCTTCCGGCTTCTTGAAAGAGCCCCGACGTAGTTCGGAATGAATTAGCCCCATGTTTCCAATGCATCCTATTAGGTGAATATTCGACCCTCTGCAACCTGCAGACACTGTTGTGCAGCGAGTCCCTTTTTTTGAACGACCCTGAGTCCGCGATATGAACAAATTAAAGTTTGTCTCGTCCATGTATATGATAGGTATATTTTGTGCTTGAAGATCCAATAAATTTTCTACATAAATACTCCTGCTTGTTTTCGTTTGAATACTATTCGCGTTCTCTGGTTCTCTACGAGCAGTCTTCAAAGTAAACATCAATCCATTGAGATGCTGTCGAACGCATTCGTTGGAGACATTGAGTGCAAAATCTTCACGGATTTTTTCACTCAGTCCTTTAAGAGTAATTTTAGGATTTTCTTCGACTGAACGTTCCATGAATTGACGGTGCTCATCAGTTATTTTAGCTCTACGTTTACCTCCTCGCTGCTTTTCCGGTTGTTCTTGGTTGTTAACCCATCGATACGCGGTTCTTTTTGGCACCTGTAGTACGTTTGCAAGATTACGCCAGTCACCATTGGCATTATACAAAGCGCAAATCTGTGTCCTCAGATTTGCAGCAGCATTTTTCTTTAAATAAGGCATCTCGTGTGAATATAATAGTTGAAATCTCGCAATAAATTACCATAAACTTGACAATAACCGATAAGTTAACAATTGTTTGACACCGATTTATACATTTATTTTTCATGCCATCTTGATATTGTTTGGTGCCAATATGATATGGACTAATGTCATTTTGATTTTGTTTAATGCCAATTTGCTTTTGATTAGTGCTAAATTTGTTGATTAATGCCAATATGATATTGTTTATTGCCAATATGATATGGACTAATGCCATTTTGATTCTGATTAGTGCCAATTTGAGCTTGAAAAGGTATAGAATTAAAAAAATAAAATTATATCAAAAGATGTGTGTCTCAAGATCTAAGAAAATAAATCGTTTATAGTTATTAAATATTCTTAAATATTTTTCAATCTGATTATGGACGAACCAATAACTGAAGTGAGGAACGTTGGAAAGGGATACACATTGGGGGAACAAAGAACTAAAGATAATCTGCTACGCAGACGATCTCGTTGATCTCGGAGTTGATCTCGGAGGACGAGGACAACATGTCGTTGAAGTTGAAAACGGATTCAGTAATGAAATTCACATTTTTACAGCGGACCAACCAAATAGTGCACTCTATTTATAATTTCGTATTTATTAGTGATAATAACCAAAAAAACATCAAAATTTGCATTACTCTCTTTAATGCTAATTTTGATGTTTGGGAATCTGCAATTAACTTGCTTCGAAGCTACTTATTGGATCGCAAACAATAATGCATAATGAATCGTCCTCATTGATGATACTAGGATCAGAAATTGCCCACACTGAGGGAAATGTATTCTTGAACGAAGATTATTACTCTTGGCTCAAGCTTATCAAAAAGCTTATTAAAAACCACATATTCTCAAAGCAAGTATACAAATATTCTTGATTCTCAAGAAAACGAATTCTTAGTGAAAGTAAATCAATAATCTTGAAAAAGAGTATTTTAGTGTTGCTTCAACAGTCCTATTTTCGTATCGAGAATATATTTCTTAAGTCAAGAATAACGTATCTTTCTTTTTAGAAAAACTTATTCATGTAATAACAATCTTGTATAATTCTTCATTTGAGTATTATAAATTATTGACGCAGGAGTGAATTTTTTGATACAAAAAGTTGATATTCTTCGATGCTAAGAATATGATATACTTCATTCGATAATATTTCTATTCTTAAAATAAAAAAATATTTTTATTTTAAGAGTATCTTATACTTGTTTCTAAGAAATACATTCAAGAATAAATTTTTCTTGAAAGTCAAGAATAATTTTCCTCAGTGCAGGGATCAATATTATTACCACTCCTGTTTTCTATTTATACAGCTCATCTTATTAATGTTTTTCAGATTTGTAACATTTATTTATATGCAGACGACACGCAAGTGTATTTTTCGTTTCTTCCACATAATTTTGATGATAGCTTAGTCGTGATCAACAGGGAATTGGCTGGTTTTTCTCAGCTTGCAGAAAGGTTTAACCTTAGATTGAATCCCAGTAAGTCAAAGGTTATGGTCTTCGGTCGAAGGGGAGACGTTCAAAAATACTCCGACAGCATTAATATAAATATAAATGGACAACTTCCCCCTTGGTTTCTGAGGTTCGTAATCTTGGACTCAATCTTGAAACTGATTTAAGATTTCACAAACATATTTCTTATGTTCTCCAAGCGGCTTATGCTAAATTAAAGGCTTTTTACCCCTGTCGACACGTACTGGGCTCTCACACCAAAGCAACGTTATGCCAATCGCTGGTTTTATCTCGATTTAATTCTGACGATGTGGTGTATGGGCCTTGTTTGTTAAAGGTGGATCAGCTTCGTGTTCAGCGACTACAAAATGCTTGCCTGCAATTCATTTTTGGTATTAGGAAGTATGATCATATATCACACAAATTGGCCACATAGGGGTGGTTGAACATGGATAGACGTAGGCAGCTTCACTGTGCCGTTTTTTATCATAGAGTTTTAACCTCAAAAACACCTAAGTATTTGTTGGACAGAGTATGCTATCGAACTGATGTACATCATCTGAACTTGAGATTTAAAGGTCTTTTTACCCCTCCGGCGATGTTTCAGTTTTCAGATAGCCAGTATGTACAATGGTATCCCTGACGATATCAAGTTGCTTCCGCTGTCCCGGTTTCGGAGGTCGATGTTCTTATCTCTACGCTCGCAGCAGAACCAACAGTGATTTAACTAATTCTCTCCAGCATGTTTCAATTCAATTTTATATAAAAAAAAAATTCATATTGGTCTATTCTACACGGGCGACATTGGATGCTTTCACTTGGATCGTGATGATGGAGTGTTCAGTTTTTATTTTTATTTTTTTTAAGTATTATGCAATAGAGTAGTTTTTTTTTGTTTTACCGCGTCCTTGCGTTGGCTTCTCATGTGGTATTATTGTTAATTTAGGTTAAGTTTGTGCAGAAACCGTGCGTTCTGAACTTCGCCTTTTCACCTAGATGTTTTTAATTTCTCTAATGTTGGAAACTAAAAATAACAAATAACATAATCCTCATCAATTTATTTGAAAAATCCTATTTGTAAATAGGGGGAATTAAAAGTAGGAATAAATTGATAACTGTTCAGAGAGTGTTAGGTTTAAAAGCAGCTTATAGTTAATGAAGGGAACACCGGAAGACGAGGGGAATCTCAATGTGCTGAAAAAAATGGTGATGAACATAATTAATAAACAATTAAAACTACAAACACAGCTATTTGAGGTGGACCTAATAACGAGAATGGGAAAAAAGAAGATGGGAAAATTAGACCTATACTGATAAAACTCATTGCTTTCAAAATCATGAGGAATGGAAGAAACTTAAAGGGAAGTGGTATAATAATTTATTTATTTATATCGGAGAGCAACAACAGGACAAACCCAATAAAGTTGTTCCACATAATTATCTTCACAGCCTCGCTACTGCAAACTTAATATTGCGTGGGTTACTCAAAAAAAGATCGCAACTCACTCGACCCGCGGTTCTTTCCATCCTCAGAATAGGTGAGTTAGGATATGCGTTTGTTTGTGGAGTGGGCATATAAAAAAGAAAGTCGTACCGTAACTGACGTGGAGGAACATGAAAATCAATTTTCGCCATCAGCGATGGGGAATCAGTATGACCATTGACAAGCTTGTACAAAAATAAAACGTCATTATATGCTCGTAGCTGGGAGAGCGTTAGCAATCCGAACATTTCACAACCAGACGCACAGTTACTGTACACTTGTTGGGTTTTATAATACAAGTATTTAATCAGT